GAGGAGCTCCTTGCGCTGCCGGGCAATTGCCTCACAGACCTGCATCGAAACAATAACAGTAGCAGCAGCAGCAGCAGCAGCAGTAGCAGTAGCAGCAGTAACAGTAGCAGCAGCAGTAGCAGTAGCAGCAGTAACAGTAGCAGCAGCAGTAGCAGCAGTAGCAACAACAACTCTGTAACAACAGCAACAACAAATCTTTGAGGCAATGTCCATAACAAGTATATCCAAGGATAAACAGCGGTGGGAGCAATATCTGATGTGCCGGTGATGGCAACACTGAAATGGTTCAAAAGCAGATGAAAGGTACGACATCCCGGTTCGTACCTTCATGTACGACACCGTGTGAACCAGGCGCTCGCCGATGTGCTCCGCCGTATCGACGGCCCTCGTCATGCCGGTTGGCAGCTCCAGGGAGTTGTCGTACGCCCGTAAAACCGTGTGATGCAGGAGGCCTGTGGACGGGGAAAGGCACACGCACACACATACATACATACAGACGCCCTTGGACGAGCCGAGGAAGGGGACTGTGGGGACCCCTCACGGCCCTCTCCCCCCCTCCAATGACGGACAGTGCTTCGGGGCGGTCGTCCCCGGCTAGGTGCCAGCGTCAAGCCCGAGTCGATATGTAACGGACACGTACATACATACATACATACATACATACATACATACATACATACATACATACATACATACATACATACATACATACATACATGCACAAGGTCGCTGATTCGTTCTGAAATAGGGTTACAATAAAACACCCTTAGTTGGTTATTAAACCCAAGCTAAAAGTAAGACCCTACAACCCAAATCCAACGCGTCCTTTCGGAATGCGTCCATTATCCGTACAGATCCAGGTTTTGTGGATTAAGACGATTTTAGCCCCATAGGGGTCTAGACGCGACTTCCCCACCCCCGGTCACCTCCTTCCCCTTGCCCTTCCCCGGGGGATCCCCCCCAACCAAGGCCGTGAAAAACCAAAGTTCGTACATTAAGCACACGCGCCTCCATGGGACTCCCCAGCAAATCCCGGCAGCTAAGCTACGGCGCACGATGGAGCGTAACTCGTACCGCAAACACGAACCCGTGACAGCGCCACACAATACAATGCAGTACAGTACAGCACAGTACGACACTGCCAGCGGTATGGTCGCATGTATGGCCGTACCATCCATGCACCACCCGAGAATCAAGACCCCCCATTCTGGGAATCACCATCCAGCTTCATGCCACAACCGCCATCACAGCCGCCGCCGCCGCCGCCGGCATCCTAAACACGGCAAAACCCGCACGCGCGCGTGGAAGCCCACAACGTTCCCGCCCATGGACTTATTAAAAGAAGCCGGTCAAAAGAAAATTCAGCAATTATTCCAAAAGGACAAAAGAAGCTCAAGTCACCCTCGCCGATTATCGTCGTCTCAAAGGCAAACCCCCCCCCCGACCCTTCCCCCCCCCCCAAGGCCTGCATCATCCCCCCTCTCTTTTCGCCCCAAACCCCCTTGCTTTGCCGTACTTACTCGACAGCACTGTTCTTGCCAGTACCTGCGGCGGCACCGGCAGCACGTACGGCACCCATTGCCGCAACTCCGCCATCAGCGGGCTGTCGACCGCCTCAGCGAGGCCCCGACCACCGTAACGCCCGACGCCGGTGCTACTGCTGCCCGTGCTACTGCTGCTGCTACTGCTGCTGCCAGTGCCGGCTGCTGTGCCGGCTTCTACTGCCGTACTGCTACTGCCGACCTCCTGGGGGTGAGGCTCCTGGGTCACAGACTGCTGTTGGTGCCGCTGTTGCTGTCGTCGTGCTTTTCGTTGCGGTTGTTCCTGTTTTTCCATACCATTTACCACATCTTCCGCCTTTGACACGCCCACAGTCCTCATCCTGGCCTTCTGCGACTGGCTGACCTTCGCCGTGTTGCGCAGGTCGCTGATGCTCCGCCAGCTGCCCTCCAGTTCCATGAACTGTGTATGTAAGTATGTATGTAGGCCGGGGAGCGAAGGGAACAAGGGGATGGGAGGGGTCAGGGGGTCGATTACAAACAAAAACCCCAACCCGGGGGAGGCAGCACGAGGCAGACGGAAAGGGGGGCTGGACGGACGGGGTGGTACGGCACAGTACGGCGGCGTGGCACGGCGTTAGGGGGTGTGCGACGGCACCGGCAGGGGGTGTCCGAACGGAAGAGAAGCTCTCTCTCTCTCTCTCACACACACACACACACACACACACACACACACACACACTACATGAGGTAGATCGACACAGGGTGGGTCGCGCGCCCTCGGTCGAGCAGTACTAGGGGACTGTGGGGACCCCTCACGCTCCTCTCATCCCCGCCGCTAGGGGGACAGTGCTTCGGCGGTCGTTCCCGTTGGGGTATACGGTTAGTTGCCCCTGGCCAGTGTCAGGCCCGGATCGTTGTGTAACAGATACATATACATACACACACATACATTCATACACACAGAACGACTCATCTTATAACACACACACAGCACGACACGCAGAACCCCCGGGCAATCCGCAGCCTCCTCCTAACCCATCCACACATTCAAACGGCCACAGCGACATCAAGGCCCCCCTGGAGCACCAACCCCCATAACCTCCATAAATATAACCCATTGGACCCACCATTGGGGCTACTTATCCCAGGCCAGGGCCCCAGCGGCCCTCAGGATGGGCTCCGTCAGAACCCCACCAAAAACACACACGCACACGCACACGCGCACCTGGTTCACGTGGCTCTCGATCTGCGCGGTCAGCGCCGGCAGCCAACGGTCCAGCAGCCGCCGTACACCCGTACTCTCCTCCAGGGCCCCGCGGGCCTTTTGCTTATCTAGCTCCCGGCGGTACTCCTCCAGAGCCAGGTGCCTGATCGGGACATACATACATACAGCTTACAGCTGCATACATACTAACATATCGACAGACATACCGACAGGCGTAATAGACGGGCAGGGACTGTGTAAGCCGGAGTTTGGTTTATCCTTCTCTCTAGCACCAGGGCTTGCCACCTGCTCTCCGTACATACACAGAGACACACACGAACACACACGTTTTCCCCACCCTCTCCCGGGTCCCACCTGGCCTGCACCTCTACGTTGATTTGCCGCTCAAATTCCTCCAGGGAGGGCAGCGGCACACCCGGACCCCGCACTGGCACCGCCAGCACCTCCTCCACGTGATGCTGGTACCACAGCTCCACATCGCTGCCGAACCCTGTCGAACTGTAGTACGACTCTCCCGTATCCGGGAGATGCATGTATCCGCCGTCCTGAGCTGCAACGCCGTCGTCGGCTGCGGCGGCTGCGGCGGCTGTAGCAGCTTCCGGCGGCGGCGCCGCCGTTCCCTGCGCTGACGGTTGCCGCCACGGCGGAACGGCAGCGGCAGCGTCGCCGCCGCTAACGGCAAGCATCCGTTCTAAACAAGCATCCGCTGTCGTATCCGCTGCTGCAGTCGCCGCCGCCGCGGCGGCAGTAGCGCTTGCTTTTGTACTTGCGGACTGCGTGTCAGGGATGGAAGGTCCTGGAGACGCGGAAGGGGCCGGCGTCGCCTTGCCGGTGGCGGCAGCGGGTTCCGGATCTGAATCTCGCAAGGTGGCAGCGGCTGCTGCTGGGAGAGGGGCCTTCCTGGGGCGGCCGCTTCCCCGGCGCTTTGGGGGGGTGATGATGATGTCAGCCGCCGGGCTAGCGGCCGGTGGTTGCTGTGGGCTAGTTGACACGGACCCTGACGCCGACAATAATACGGCAGAAGAAGCAGAGGCGGCGGCGGCGGCGGCCGGATCCTTGGCCTTGCAAGGTCTGCCTCTCCGCTTCACCGTCGACGGCGGTGCCGCCGCCGCCGCCGCCGCTGGAGGCAGAGGCAGCTGCGCCAGCGAGGGTGGCGGCTGCAGAGCGCCGATGGCCTCACTGGCCCTTACGGCAGCGCGGGAGGAGAGCGCCGCTACCGCAGCCGCCGTCGGGGGACTTAGGCTGCCGTACAGGGCCGGGGTCAGGTTCCGTCGGTGAGCCCTCGACTCCGGCCAGAGCCTCCTCGCGCTGAACCAAATGGCCCTGTTCGGGTTGCTACTGCTGCCCCAGCCGAAACTATTGCTACTGCTGCTGCCGGTGTCGCCGGTGTCACCGAAGCCATGGCTCCGAAGTCCCCGTATGTCCGAATTGAGAACACTGCAGGTGGCGCCGTTGTGGACGTCATCGCCACTGCGGTCGCTACTGCTGGGTTCGCAGCGGGCACTGCCGCTGCCGTCGAGGCCGGCGGTAGCGTTACCAGCGGCGGAAGAGAACGCGGTCCTTAGATGCTGAATGCTTCTCCCTGACATCTCCCAGCCACGACTGAAGCGCCTCGTAGCACGTACAGGAGCGACCGCCCTGTCCGAGGATGGTAACGGATAGCCGCACATGCTCGCGGATATGGCCTGGTTGGGCAGCGCTCCCGGTCCCAGCATCCTTTCATGGTTGCTACCAACGTCTCTTCCAGACGTTGATACATGGCAAGGCCGCAGGGTCTGAGCGTGTCCCGCCGCTGTTGATGGCAATTGTAGGGCGGGATGGGCTGCAGCCTGGCCGCCAGGCAAGCAGTTCACATGCTGAAGCGTAAAGGCACATGTGCAGTCCACTAGCTGTGGCAGGTACGGACGTGTACACGCGATCGATGATGCCCCCGAAGTGACGGCCGCTAGGCCGCCCGCGGATGTTGGATTTAAGAGAAGCGCTGATGCAAATAATGAAGGGCGTGACATTCAACGGCAAGGCTAAACCGCGTTATCCTACTGCATTGGGCGGCTAAGCTCAAGGATAGGCCAGGTTACGCCGAAAGCTGGATACGTGAATGTGGCTAACCGTGTGTTTTAATTTGCACATTGATATTGTAGCAGTCACCGGCCCATCGCCAATCGTTTGGTCCACGATGGCATGCCGACAACCGATTTAGTAACGTAATTTCGCCTGCATAACTCTAGTACTCTACAGTCTTCAGTCTACAGATTGGGACTAGTGCGCACATAAAAGATTATACTATGCTTTCTTTCTCTTCGTTAGATATACACTTTTGTACAGTATAGCTTCAGGATTTCGCTAGCCCTGTCCTAACTAACTTGGAGGCCTTGCCCTTGCTGAAAGTTCATATCAGCTAGGGAATAAAAACACTTATGTCCGAAGGGGGCGACGATAACGACCTCTTTGGCGAGGCGCTGGGCGTCGAGGAGGCCAGCATCCAGCAGGGAAAGGAAGATGGCGTCAGGTGCGGCTAGTTGCGCACAAATTCAAGGCGCCCTCCTCGCATAATGCAACATGTGCCTGACATCCCGCGCAGGGACGGAATGCTAGCAGGAATGGCCGAGGGTCGTGAACTCGGCGTACAGAAAGGCTACGAGATAGGTCGGTCCCCTCGCCCCAGCCACGGTGACTTGAAAGCCTGTTTTAACTTGGGGCCGGTCCATATCATGGATCTGACTCAACATTCCTGCTAGCACGATCCGTCTCAGCCAGGAACCTGCTGCGATACCACCACGGCCTTTTGCGCCGTCACGTCCTTTGGCGGACGTCGAGCCTGGCCCGTTTGGCCGCCCCCGCTGCTTATGCCGCAGATGCACCTATGACTGCTGCTGTGCTTGCCGCTGCCGTTGCCCTTGACACTGCTGCTGCTCTTATACTGCTGTTGTACAACCTAGCACACCTCAGCACAGCCTAGCCTCGTGGGGCATCTTAAGTGTGCGCCGAAAGGAGCACGCGCCCCGCAGCTTATTGTTGGGCGCCTAACGGGCTAACGGCTAACGCCTCTAACGGTAATTTCCAGTGTCCCTGTATTGTCACCACAGCACAGACTCCTAGGTCCGCCGTCCTCCGCGTGTGCGTGTATGTGTGTGTGTGTATGTGTGTGCGTGTGTGCGCAGGTCAGGAGGTTGGCTTCTATGCGGGCTGCGTTCGCATGTGGCGGGGCATTCAGGTGGGCGGTCACGGCGGTCAGATGAGGTTGCGTCCAGGGCAGGGGTTGGGGGGGGGGTTCGGAGGGTTCGCCCACTCCTTTTCTCTTCCCTTCTCTTCTCTTCTCTCTGAAATAATTGACCACACTTTATCACACTTCTCGTAGCCTCACTTCACCTCACGGAACCTCATCTGCGAGCTCTAATTTTATGAACTTCAAGTTACTTTGAGCTCCTGACATGCCCTTTGATCGCTCTCAACCCCTGCGCCTTCAACCCCCTCAACCCCCTCTCAGCAGACTCTCCCCACCAACCCGCTTCCCTCGCGTCTAGCACGTGACGTCCCCCTTCGTGGACTGTCGTGCTTTGCAGCTGCCGGTAGCTTACCAGCTGCCGGTGCGATGCAAGTGCAACCAATTTACCTAAGTTGACACAAAGGACGAGGAGCAATAACGCATAGCTTTACACTTAACTTTGCTTTCGTCGTCTGAACAACATCCTCTTAACAACTCGCCCACAGGCTTGTTGCGAACACCGCGTCATCCAGGCGCCACTGTCAGCCCAAGGATATAGGGTGTCCTGGCTCAATTCAGAAGCTCAACGGCTACATGATCCCCTCCCTCCCCCCTTTGGTGAACGGGGCGGTCCTGTCAAACCCGGGCCCTATATGCGCCCCGCAGGCCAGGGAGCCCGAGCTCCTGACCGCCAGACTGGAGCGAGGATTGGCCTCCCTGGAGGACATGATCCAAGGGTTTCCATTGTACGACCCGCAGGTGCGGATAACGGAGAGGGGGCTGTTGCCGCCGGGCTTTGAAACCGGTCTCTTTGCCGTTCTAAAGGCGAAGGGAGTGAGTTGTTAGGGCATGGGTGGTGTGTGGGAGATGGGATGTGGGTATTACTAACTAGTGGGCCCCGCTCGCTGTACGCTCCGCCTACTGCCGACCCACGGGACCATGGCCCGCGGCCTGTCCAGGGGTGTTGGTGACGCTGCTGCTGATGTTGCCGCCGCTGACACCGCTGCGCTGCGACCACTGGTGCGGGTTGGCGCTGTTGTTGGCGCTGTTGTTGTTGGTTGTTGTTGTTGTTGTTGACGCCGCTGCTGGACACTGGTGGCGCCCCCCACTGGCGGCCCCACTCTGCAGGACGAGTCCCTCCACGAGGCGCTGGAGCGACTGCGAGGCCGGTTTAAGGTGGTGGCCAGCGGGCTGGGGTGCCTGCAGGTAGCCAGGGCGGCAGGGACGGGGCTATGCGGTGTCGGGTCTACGAAGGGCCTAGGGCCTAAGTCCCCCGAGTTCTCATAGCAGCAAATAACCACAGCAGCAGCAGCAACAGCAACACAGTGACCCTATACCCTATCTTTTTTTGCGGCATGTGGTGGCACAGTAGCCGCCCCGCGTGGCGTCATTGACAACAAGCACATGTGTGTTTCCGTACACCGCAGTACACCTCCAGAACAAGCACCTTACAAGCACTTTCGCTCCCTTTCCGAGACCTGACTGCACACATGGCGTGTGGGTACTGTTTGCTGATGTAGTTGGTAAACCTAGCACGTACTGCTGGGCATACGAGCTTCGTCGTGGTGTGTGTGTGTTGGGGGGGGTAACCGGGCTTTACGAGTGGAAAATGTCCCCGGGAATGATGAGGTCCCCTTTTCGGGCGATAAGAGCCTTCATAAGTCCGCTTTGAAAGTGGGCAGGCAGACAGACGGATGGACAGACAGATAGACAAACAGAGAACGGGACAGACAGATAGATAGATAGACAGGCAGACAAACGATGGGCTTGCAGTTGCGGTAGGGCTTCTCGGGCAGTAGGCAGTAGGTCTGTCCCTTGCTGTTTGCCCACCGTTCCTCAGTAGCTCTGCAGTAGCAGCAGCACCGGCCGCTCTGGTGGCCTTGAAGAAGCCTCCATCCGTCAGCCGCCAAGCCCCTGCCTGCCGTCACGGTCGCCTATCCCCACCCCCCGAGCAGTTGGTGCTCTGGACGTTGGCATTTCAGTTGATTCCCTCCTTGACCTTGCATACCTTTCCTCTCCCCCTTTTCCTGCTTCGGCCGCTGCTTCAGGACTATTTTCCAAAAGGGGGTTCGGCGGAGGCGACCTTGAGCTTTTGACCTCGGGCACAGCGACAGCTTACCAGCAAGCCCTCCATGCTCTCCCCGTACGTTGGGGTGCGAGGCAGGGTGGGGGATGGGGGGACACGCAAACGAGGCGGGAGCACCCATCCTGTGTTTCCGTGTACATTGCATTTTAGTGTAATTACGGGCGTGCGGTGGTGGCTGGGAAGTGCCTGTGGTGCTCGGATGGGTACTGGAGCGCCGAGCATTTCGACGTCAATAACGGTTACGCGGTATGCGCCGTGGCCTTTGGGCAAGTAGGGTGCAGTCCGCTGAGGTGATGGACCTTTAACGATTTAGAACCCTTACAATAGAGAACGCATAGGGGATAGGGTTGCGTTGGAACCCTGCGGGCTGGTGTGCACGTGCGCAGCAGATACACCGGATTCTGCCTTTCGATGCGTCACGTTTCGATTCAGAAGCAAATGTACGCGGAAATTCCAAGGATTGTTTTTTGGACTTCCACGGTCAGTCCATGGATGTGCAGCCACCCTGTTGGTTTACACATGTGGTGTAGCCTAGGCCGCGCTGAGATGTTTTTGCGGCGGTAGCAAGTCATCTGCGTAGAAAGTTCCTTGGCTTGGGATTCGTAGCTGATGGTACGATGCTTGTAACATCATTTTTATGGTCAGCGTAATTCATGGAGTACAGTAATAATCGTTAGGTTCAGGTGGGACGCACGTCAATCCTTGCGTCGCTTGATGGCCATTGAACTAGACCTAAAGACTGCGGGAAAATTGAACCTTGAACAAAATGATGCAATG